TTGATTTCCTGAAGAAGTCGAGCAGCTGGGTGCAACACACTACATTCGGCATTCGTTTTCCAAAAAATATTTAAAATAATAATTGGACTCAAAAATAATCAAGCAAAATCCCAACATTCAGATCTGAATTTAGTGCTTGCTCCACATAAGTAAGCAACCATGAGTGAATTTTGACTCGTGTTTCGCCGGATTTTTTTAATTAAAAAGTCATAATAAATAAAGTTATTTGTTTATGAATAACAAAAACGTTTTTTAAAAATATTTTAACTAGAAATAAGGTGAAAATGTGGAAGATATATCAATACAATGTGAGAAAACGTTTTGAGTTATAATAGGTTCAATATTTCGCTCACTATTTAATCGGCCTTTTGGAGGTTGGTGTCGTGTGCCGCATGCTTATAACATGCCATTTTATATCTTATTTTATGATTTTAATATTCTGATTAACACCATATTTGTGTAGTTTTCCCATTTTAGATTATTTAAACTTGTTACATAATGCCAGTCTCAAAGCGTGATAAGAAGGGTAAGATCTTTTATTTATATATATATATTTTTTCTTAGTTTCTCTTACCAAGGTCTCAAAGACTCCCAAGGACAAGCCAGCTTTCGTTGAAAAGGTGAGCTTTACTTCATTAATATGTTTTGGTCGCTGTGTTCTTTCTTTGATTTTTCTTCTCTAATTTCAGATTAAATCACTCGTTAATAAGTACAAGTTTGTCTACGTGATAAATTTTTTGAATTCTCGCAATCAGAGGCTTGCCGACTTACGCAGAGAACTAAAGGATAGTTTGTTTCTTTTTGGAAAGAACAAGTTAATGATGATTGCCTTTGGACGAGATAAGGCACAAGAGACTAAACCTGGTCTCTACAAGCTCAGTAAATTCATCAAGGGACAATGTGCCCTTCTATTCACTGACAGAAACCTTGATGAAGTAAGAGCTGTTTTCAACGAATTCAGAAACGCCGACTATGCGAGACCCGGTGTTGAGGCTGCACAAACAGTAATTGATTCCCTTTCTACCACGTTCCTTCAAAATATAGTTGCGAAATGTCTAATTTCGCTCTTTTTCAGGTAATTCTTGGAGCTGGCCCTATTCCGAAGTTTTCTCACACTTTGGAGCATCCACTACGTAAATTAAACCTCCCAATCAAACTCAATCGTGGGATTGTTACCCTGGAATCTGACTATCAGGTTTGTAATAAGGGCGATATCCTTACACCGGATCAGTGTCGAATCCTAGTAAGTTATCCTTCCGCCGTCTTATAAACGTGGTCTACAGTGACGCTTAACTGAACTTTCTTTGAATCGAGTCACTTCTGTTCCGAGATGACACGGGAACTTCAGTTTTATGCAAGCTAATATGTCTTTCTTCCTTGTGTAAATAAGCTACGCATATGTAGTGCAGTTTTTATTCTTTTTAAATTATTGCTAAATAGGAAAGCATTTCTCTATTTTTATTAATCTCTTTTTACTTCATATCTCTCGTGAAATTCCTCTGATACTTCACTTTATTTAAAGCATTCAATTGACAAGCCAAAAATAGTGTCGAAGCATCTAACTTTACATTTTTAATCAGTACTAGCCTTTGGGGTTGCTAAATCGAAAATGTTCCAATAATTTCAATATGGTTTCCATAACCCGTCATAACGCCTGTCTGCGATTCGCAAAGCTTTTATCTTTATTGCTTTTTGCGCTACGGTATGCAAAATTTTGGGGTTAAAGATGGCAAGAAGTTCTGATTTTATTTTAGTTCGGTTTGTAGTAGCCCTTCTGTAACCAGCCTTTAACCTACTTCTGCTATGTATAGGGATCACCTCCTGTCTAGGCCACATCGTCAATCTCATTTCATTTTTTCGTAGCCCTAATTTCATGGTTTTTGTGTTATGTGATAAAATTTTTTCGAGTCAGATAACTAGATGTTAGCAACATCTGTAAGCTAAGACCACTGCCGCTGAAACGATCGATTAAATACTAGTTAATTCTGGTGGAAAAGATGAGCGGTAGAGTGCGAGTTTCTTATTTGGTTGGATGCATTTCTCCTACTCAAATCAGGCATTGACAACGACTTCTTTTTACTTCTCATTTTGTCTGAGGTCCTTTTTATGATCCATGCTCATTCAATCATTCCTACTTTCTGGCCGTACCTCATCAGTGCTGATGGTCATCTTGTAAGCTCTGACGGGAGGGACAAATACGCTCATCTCTGCCCCATTTTCTGTTGATCTTCACATTGTTTAACGATTCAAAATTCTAGAAGGCAAGAGAGAAAGGGGTTTAAATATATCTTAATTGTACCTCATTGATATTAATGACTTTCTTTGACGAAGACAGAGCTTGATCTTAAGTTATAAAGCTGAAAATACCATTGATAATATACCCTTTTCTCTTGTTAGAAATACTTTGAGGTTCAGATCTCCGAATTTCAAGTGAATATTTCGGCCGTGTGGCGAGCTGTCGACGGAAAGGTGGAGGACGTTGCCGAGTCCGATGCCAGCAACGTCATCACTTCCCTCTATCCTAAAATTCGAGTGCAGTGTGAAACTTACCAAGGAGAATGCCACTACTTTTCCCAGGTCCCCATTGAGGATAAAGAAGACGAAAGTCAGGATCAAGAGGAAATGGAAATTGTGTGAATAAACTGATTGCTTACGTATATGTATGAATTAAGATTGTAAATTTATCAGCTCAGCCGACTTGAATGTGCCTTCTTCATTGCCTCTGTTGAAACGGGTTTGGACTAGAGTGTCATCAGTTTTAGAGCTTCAAGGTGTAAGAAACAGGAGTACCTAGGGGCTTGTCGCAGAGGAGTGCTGATGTAGTGGAGGTAGGTGTTAGATGTTGGTTGTAAAAGCCAGTGAACGTAGTTTCGTTTTTTAAAAGCATAGTAGGCAAGGCCTACTTGAACAGTCACAATACAATAGTGAATTCAAGTTGATGTTTAGTGATTATCAAATTGAAAAAGGAAGCGTTTTGTCTAACGGCGAATTCGGTTGCATAAGTCTTATTCAACGAGTTACATTAAGGTAAAATACTTGCGATTGACAACGCTTGTTGTATTTTACTAGCCGAAAATTGAACCCAGAAAAGGGTCAATTATTTTCATCTCATGGCTCCGAAATTAACCCTAATTTGATCATGTATGCTTCAGGCCAAAGTAATATTGGTGTATCTACAACCAATAGTTGTATGCACTAAGTACTCTTGTCATAAGTGAGTGGTACAACATCTTGTGACCTGCATCAATAAAATCTTTCGAACCACATAGAAAAAATTTTCTCGGTACGATAAAATTATATTCCCTTAGTTACAAGTGCTTAAATAGACGACGAGTACGGATCAGGTGCGGCGAACACTGCCAATAGACAATCAGATGTCCTCGTTTGTTATATCGCATCCGCCATGTTGATAATGACCAAGCTTCCGTTCAGGACACAACCAGCGTGCAACTTCCCTTATAAACGTGTTCCTCGTGATCCGTCTCCTTCTTCTATAGCTTGGCAATAGCTTAGCTAGTTTGGGAAGTTTGATCTACAATAGAGATTCCTCAGTCAGTCAGGCTTTACTGATGCAGCGATCCGCTGCAAATAAAAATTTAAGATGCTGGGCCTCAAAGAGGCCTAGTGGATGCTATAGAATGGTTTGAGTTGAGGACAGATTAACGATAGTTGATATGCATAGTATTGAAAATGATAATGTTTGAGACGGCTGAACAGTAAAAGTCAAAAGAGAGTGGGTTTCTAGACTATTAATCGGATAATATACAATTGCAGCGCTGATTGTCACTTTTTCATCTTGGGCTGAAGGCTATGAAGTTGAAGAAGAGAACGAGTAAAAAGTGGGTGAAGCTGATACTATTTTCATTAAATTGCAGTATTCCAGATGGCCAAATTATCTGTAATTTACTTTAGCTTATCTAGTTTTATTGCTACTTAGGAGACACCCACTGTTGTCGTAAGACTTATTCATGTTTCCTTTAGTTGATATTATCATTATGGGGTGTACGATAGACTTACCTCCACGTGGTGTACCCTGGGCAACGTATACTCATACGGCAAAAAGGCCTATTAACTGGCAGTTGACTTCTGACTTCAAACTACCCCCACTGTATGTTATATTCGACCACTTCTACAGTACTCATTTTACCTTTTCTCTGCCTTGTTGTCTGTCTGTCTGTCTCTGTTACATCTGTGAGTCATTATTCTGTTTCCCCTCTCGACTTTTTGTTACTTTGATGTTCCTTCGCCTCTCTGTGAAGCCCGAAGTCAGCTAAAGGGCCAATGAAAACCATCAAAACGCCTGCCATTTGAAATGAATTAATAATATTATCATTATAACCAAACATTATTTAGTTTCTTTTGATTATTTCACAACATACCACAGACAACAAAATGGGGGTGATCCTATTTATCATTGTTGTTATTGAAATTGGTTATTTCAACAGCCAATTACTATGTTATGATGCTAGTGAAAAATCGTACCTATATGGATAAGATTTTTTGAGTGACCATGACTATTTTATAACTTTTCATTTTCTAGTGGATATTGGCTAAGTAGCATTTTAGTCGGAGAACAAGAGGCCATGAAAGCAATTTTTTTGCCTAGTTCTTCTAGATTATGCATGTTTTATATCTTGCCAACCTCTGTTATGACAACAGGACAAAAGTGAAGGCACTGGCAATCAGCAGTTTTGTATAAACTAAATTTTATGGTGTGAATCAGGAATGTCTCTATTATAGCTGGCTTAATACGAAGGAAGAATGAAAGTTGTACTTGGGTGTGTATGAAGGGAGGATTCCAAAACTCAGACTAGGGGGATTTTCTTTAGAAATGTATGAGGAGGCAGGTTAATAGCAAATGAAGTGCCGGAACATTAATATATTCGATTTAAGCCAATATCAATAGATTATATCAACCCCTGATTTCAACACGTTTTTACAAGAAATATGCTACACAGATTAAAATTTTATTTTAAACTCAGCTGCTTAATCAAATCAACCCCTCGTATTTTGCAAATGAATTTTAGTATAAATAACGAAAGTAGTATTCCATTACTTGTGAAGATATACTAACATTTGCTATATTAAGAAACAAATTTGAAGTGACCTTATACAAAGAAGAAAAGGTAATTGAACCATTTTACGTGACATTGCATTTCCTCACTGTTTAATCATAGGGTACAACAAAATCTGTATCGAGGGAGAGGGAGTGAGAGAATGTATTTTAGCCTCTAGAATATCCATGTAACCTTGATTAGCACTGGTGTGTTATTTGACTTCAGTTTTTATTTTAAAAGTTGTTTTTCTATAAACAAAATCTACCTTACTTTCTATTTTTTGAAACTAAATTTTAAACCTAAATTTCCTGCACCTTACTAGTTTTCGAACCTTATTATGGATCCAACTCTTGAAACACCATCTACATTAGTAACTAAATTGAAAACTCAAGGATTTTTCGACAAAACTCGCAAACGTTGTCTTGAAGACTTGGAAAGTAATTCCGATTACTTCAATCTCAAGAGCACCGTGGATGAAATAGTAACCAGCTTTCTTTCTGATAAGTTTGCCAATGGTAGTAAGATTGAATTTCGTGAGAAACTTCGCCGTCGTCTGCAAGACGATGCTTCATTGCAGTGTAGCATTAATCATATGGCTGATCTTCTTTTATCAACTTATGCTTCACCAGATTCTCTTGCACCAACCATTAATCAAATTACTTGCGAAGCACTTCATGTGGACTATCAGGATTGGTTGAATACATGCAAGAAACCTCCACAACCACCACCACTACCAGTTATTCCTCACCCAATGGCCACAGCTCCTCCTCTTGCTCTCATTCCTGGGCCAACAGCTTTAGCCCCTTCAAAGTCTAAGATCTCGGAACCCGTAGTTACTCCACTCTTGCCAGCTCCTATTCTCCCTACCCCACCTATTAAAAAGGAGCCACTTCTGTCAAATACGCCCTCCGACATACCGATTACTCCTCTTATTGCTGATTTTCCTATTATACAGAACCATGCTTCACCATCGTCAGACATTGAGATGGAAGTTGATGATAATGGGGATGATATGGAAGTTGGTAAGCACTTAGAAACTACTTTAATCCACTGTTTTATATCGTCCCTGCAAGTTAGGAAGGTCATTTGGGGTATTTAGGTAATAGTGTAATTTGAGATGTCATGCCTGGTGCTCCAGTCTTCGAAGTCAGAGGTAGCTGTGTATGCTATGCTATCCTCTTTTCCATCAATGTTGTTCGAAATCGGCTTTATTACTTAAAGAGGTTCTACTTTTTTGACTTAATATTGTCCAAATTAGTTCGAACTAGAACATACGTAAACTACGTTCATATGTTTTATGGAAGTCCTCCAAATATATTTTCGAAAAGACGAAGTATTTTCAATGGAAGTAGCACTATATTTTGTTGGCTCAATCCGGCTTGTTCATATAATTTTATATTTTTACGTCTAATTCAACATTATGATCTTCGTATATATGAACGAAGATATTTAATATAGGACTTTAAATAAATATATTTTCTTTCTCTTTTCCAGAATCTTCCGACTCCAATCAACATGTTACTACAAAAACTGAACCCACAGTGAAATCGAGACATGCAGATACCCCACATAAACTTACAAAACCGCTACTTTCTCATGACTCCGTCGACGAAGACAAGCCTCCTTCTCTATTACTAAACTCCAGTGCTTTCTCCCGCAAGATTTCCACTGCGACTCGTCCTCAACCCGCCTCTTCACTACTTCACGCAGGAGGGTCTCTGGATGACATCTCTGACAATGAGATGTTTACTGGTGACATCTCTCCGTTGCGCCGTAGATTGACTATGTCAGGAAATCCGGTCAAGCAGAACTCACCCCCTCCTTCTTTGAATTCTGTGAAACAACTGAGTTTTAGTGGTGGTTTTGAAAGAAACCCCTCACCTCAACATGGTACTAACCGGAAAACATCTATGGATGGCAATAGTAGATTTCATCGTGGACATAATGACTTGCGCCAACTTAATCGTCACCGTCAGGATTTCAGTAAAGATCGCGATAGAGATCGTAACGATGGACGTGATAACCACTCCCGATCTCGTCGAGATCGGGATCGCAATGATGATCGACATAGGGATATGGAAAGGCATACGGAGAGAGGTGATCGACGTACTAGCAACACTTTAGTAAGTTGCACCAGAATTTTCAATATACAAAATCATGCATAGTAGTCTAGGACAAAATTGGCTCACTCATCTGAAATAAGTGGTCTCGAGAAAGCATTTTTTACATTATGAAGTACTTCTTTTTTTAAATGTCTAGTTCCGCCATTTTTTGAAGGATATTTTTATCTATTTTGCAGCAGGCCAACTTTGAACGCTTAAGTTTTTGTTAGAGTAGGTCATTCATGGCAGCACAGTTTTTAAACTCCCAGTCATTTTGAGTATTCTTTTGCTTTGGGAACCGTTGATAATGTAGCGAATCTACACCAATAAATTTCATTTTCCACTTTTACACTTAGACCTGGCCATTTTAATGATCTCGCTTTTATATTTCTTGGATTCGTTCAATAGTTGTCTCGTTAAAGGAATTCGGGGTGTCGGATGAGAAATCCTTTTCATCATCTTTCATTGATCACAAACTTGTCTAGTTGTGTCACAAAATTTCTCAAAAAACACATTTTACATAGATAGTAAGTGATTTGAAGTATTAAAACAAGGCCTTGTATCAAAAATATAACCCACGAAGGGTGTTTGTATAGGTTTCAGTTATACGTTTACTTGAGAAAAGGAATATCGGTTGTGAAAATAGTGGAATTTAGATCCGAAGCTACTGATTTCTGTTGTCGGTTCAGCTTCATCTGTAGAACCCTTATTTCCTGAGTACTTGGTTGTATTTAGCTCAGTTAAAGCTCATCTATGGAAGCGCCCTGTATGGAAGGAATAGGTACTGATTATTAAGGGAGAATTGTTGTATTTATCAGAATTTCTGTAATCCCACATACGCCGTTTTACTTTCGTCTGTTGTTGGGAGAAGGCGTGGACCCTAATTGACCTGTTTCAAAAGCTTGCATTGCGGTGTTTCTTTCGCTTTGTTAGTATAACCTGCACTGATACTAGCAAGATTACGAAATTTCAAAGCACCTTTTATAACAGAGCTCAATCCTGAGGAAAATTCCAAGCGGTCTTCTTCTTTACTTTGGTTATATTCTCAGTGGCCAGTATTTGATCTTATTTTGTTTGTTGCATTTGATTGGTTATATGATTCAATCTGTTAGCCGGTGAAAATTATAGTTCAGATATGTGCGGCGTACTTGACGGTTTGGGTTTTAAGGTACTGTAGTTTCTTTATCGCATGGTTTTGCATAGGCTATAAGGTCATTAAATAAAAGAAACTGTCTGTCTTGGTATACTCCATTACCTTGGATTATTACTCTAATCATATTGGTTTCTCAAGCTCATCCTACTTAACTTGATAAGTATGATGCTATTAAGAAGGCATTCAGACGATAAACTCATCTTCTGCTGCCTCTCTAGCATAATCAAATTAGCTAGTGCGAATGGTCATTCAATTCACTGGATAGTTCTTTTAGATTTTTACCTCTGACTTTATAAATAGGCCAGTTTGTCATCTTAGCTTCTGCAGCACTTAATTTGACTCTTCTTAATACTATCTCATGTTGCTACAATTAAATACATTCCTAAATTTTAGGCGCGTAGCAGCGTCGGTCTCCTGGAGCGACAGATTCGAAACCCCTCGCCTGCATTGGATTCTCGATTGGGCTCTCGCGACCTCTCTTCACGATCTCAATCCCCAACCGTTAGTACTTGGCGTCAAAGGCAGAGTTCACCACACTCCACGAAAACACCAGACAGTCGAGTATCAAACTCCCAGAAGCACGGAAAATCTAGTGACTCAAAAGGTTGGTTATTTTTTATGTTTGAGTCTGATTTTTTTGTCTTTGCATTTGATATAATTTTCATAGATGGTAAGTAGACATCCGATCCTAATGCATTTCTTCTCTGTCATAAACCTATTAGGTGATTGGGAAGTAATTCCATATATTCCAAGTTAATTTGGTTATAAAGGGGCTTTACATAAAGATATGAGAAAACATAAAATGCGATTTTATTTTAAATCTAAATTGTGCATATGTTTTGTCCGTTTTGTCTCCCTATCAACGACTCTTTACCCCAACAGTCTACCCCTCTAATTATCTTTCATAAAACTGTACTGAAATTTAATCCTCTCAAAATGCCAGTTTTGTAACAGCGCTTTAATCAAAGGACTTTCACTACCTTCCACAAGCAGGAATGTTCGCAGCATTTAATCTACTGTAATGGACCCAAAGTTGGGAGACGGAAAAGTCTGCTTTAGAAAATTCCAACAATGTTGGTCTTTCGATGATCTAATTATTTAAATTCTATCAGACAAGGGATAACTAGGGTACATTCGGATCTCAACGCTTAAGACAGTACAGAGGGTTTGTTAATTCAAGAGACCGTCACAAATCTGATGGGTGATACTTAAACGAACAGTAAACTATTATAGGTTGAAGCTATATCCATTTCTTTTTATCCTTTAGATTCACACGCCTTTAAGGTTCCGAGTAAAGGTTTGTTTACAAAAGGCTTCTGTTACTAATTTACGTTCAACCCCTCGTTAATTTTTTTGACTGTCTAATGAGCTTAATGCTTGTTTTTTAACTTTCACGGCAGTTTGCATTTAATTACGTAATTAGGTTTGCATTGTATGTATTGTTACTTTCTCATTTTTAGATTTTGTGAGGCATCGACGTAACACAGGTTTGCTTGCTCATTTATTTCTGCTAGCTTGTTATTGCACTTTTGGGAGGAACGAAGTCATCTAAAAATCTTCATTATTGATAATATTTGACTCCATAAGCACCAATTAACTCGAGTAGAAGGGAGGTAATTTGAAGTCGCTCTGATTAGTACCTTTTTATTGACAATTATTTACCAGTATAGTGGTCATGTCGCTCATATGGTATACACTAATTAGAGAATCGATTTCTCGACCTCCAATTTGACGGGCATCCACGTCGACTTCAAATTGAGAAACGCACTCGACATCCCTTTGTTTACTTAGTGGATTTTGTCATTTTCGTCAATAGGAGTGCGGAGGTTTGTTTCGAACTCATGATCGCCGGCTTTGCTAACTTGAAGTTGAGGGCCACATTCGGTTCCTCCTAGCGTTTGGTCATTCTTATCACCTGATATGGATTAATGGGTCTCGAATCAGCAATTAATGTTCATTTTGCCTTTTGGACACTGAAGCTTTTTCTTTACGTAGTTTGAATCCTCTTCTCCCTCTCAATAGATCGTATGAGAATTTCTCACAGTCGAGATAGAGATAAAGATAGATATCGTCAGGACAAACATAAGTCGTCCCCATCAAAGAATCATTACGATAACAGCCATCACTATCATCACCATAATCAGGATAAGCGGGATTCAGAAAGGCGATCCCGACATCGCAGTCGAGAATCTAGTAGTAGTGTCCGAAGATCCTCTCCACGTCAGTCGACAACAGCGTCACATCACCATGAAAACCGCCGACAGGTGTCCCCCCAAGTTCTCCTCCCTTCTCTTTCGCCACCACCTCGACGAGGCGGTAATGCCACCTCACCAATACCACCCCTGAAGACTAGCTCTCGTTCAAATGGCTTTTATCTCTAGAGAGTGGAGATTCTCCTCCTCTCACCTCCCCCATTTTTATAAATATGTGCTATTTTTATTTGGTTGCTGTCTCTTTTCTCCTGATTATGCATATCTGAAATCGAATATTGAAATATGAGATTACTTTGATCACGCTTTAATCTGTTTTACTTTCATGGGGAGGCTTTGGGTTTGAATTGTTACTTAGCTAAAAATATGTTATTGCAGTTGACAGAGAAGCATTTGTTCTTTATATTCCAGGCAATTAGTAGTAGGATTAGTACAGTGTTTGAGTTTCATCTAATTCCTGCTGAATTGGTAGATTAAAATGCTTGGGGACTTGATTCCTATACTCGTTGACTGGACTTTTTGGGATTTAACGTCTGATTCTTTATCTTGGCTTGTCTTGTTCATCAACCTCTATTTTTTCCTTCGCTAATCAAGAGTAGAAGGGTGGCGATATAGCATCTCTAATTATTCCATCCGGTATGATTAGTCATTCAGCTCACTGGGTGCTCACCGATGGGTGTCCAACACGCGACCACTACCTTCAAGGACGATAACCTTAATCGCTACACCACCGTCAGATATATTTATTGTTACCACCAACAGCAATGAAAATATGCTTATAGGATTTAATTATAGATCGTTCATTCTCATATGAGGGTTATAATTCACTTTACAATTTTCTACTTTTACTTTTCGAGAGTTTATCCATGTGTTCAGGCATGAGATATTCAGGGCCTGTTAATTGAATGATTAATGAAAGTAACGAAGGAAGTGCACAAATGAGTATAATTAAGCTTTCTATTAAATTTATTTAAACACCCCTTGAGTAAGCACAAATTATGGTGCTATGATGACTGAAAATGTTAGACTATCTTTTCACCGCTAGGTTGAGTCTCCAAGCTTCCGAATTTCACTTTGGTAAGTTTGGCCCTTTCAAATTTTTGAAGAAAAGAAATAGAATTTAAGTGGTAAACCTGACTTCTCGTAAAATACTTAAATATTTCCATGGATAACTATGATAATACTATAGCATTTTATACGAATTTGAAAAGAAGGCTTTTTGAGACTTCAGGATACGCTTAAGTGGTAGAATTTGTACTATTATACAAAAAAGCATCTCTTAACTAATTGAATACGATAGTAATCTTCTTAACTTAATACGCAAACAGGTAAAATCAATAATTTGTTAATGCGCTAATTCAATAAGGGAAATGCATTGGAGTTTGTATTACTTCAACCCTACTTATTATGAAAATAAAATTGATTCTGAATTACTTCATCATCATTTGCATAAGTACAGGAAAATGTTCAACAGAAGAGTCCCAAAGAGCTCAATTTACGGTTTGGGTACCCAGAGGTCGCCTAATTCAACTTCCTTGCAATGTGGATAGTAAAAAATATGCTGAACTCAATGGACATCCTTTTGAAACTAACATAACGGATTTATTGAAACCAAAAATTCTAAAAAATCCCGATTTCAGAATGACTACAATATGGTATAGTACGGTTGGAAACGTTATTCATATTGGAGAATTTATCCCACTACATCTCCATTTATTGGTTCCTGGTGAAATTGATTACTCTGATCCCCGAAATTCAGAGAAAACCTCTTCACACTCAGGGGTCTCAAAAACAAATGCACCCAGGTTTAATAATATCTTAAACATGCTTAATCAGCAAACAATGTCAACGATAACATGTAAGACATTCAAATCACAGGTAGCAGGTTTCTTCGTTACTGCTAATCTACCAAAGCCTCGACCACTTTCTATGAATGAGGAGTTGATTTATAACCAGTTCTCTTTGGTTTATTATATTCAACCTGTCATTATTTGGACTTATGTTATTCCAAAAGGAAATTCAACCATATCAGAAATTTGGAAGAAAGAAACCTACGCTTTCTGCAAAAACCTTCGAAGTATTAGTGAATATCAGTTATCACCTTGCTTAAGTGTATCAATAAACCAAGTTCCTATTGAGTACTCAGCAGCCAGCCAGACAAATCTAACTGTTATAATAAGACTCAGTAATAATGCTTTGAATCTACTCTCAAATCCAGGCAAAATAAGAACCACTAGCCCAATTACACTCCCCTTTCTCCATGCAGTAACTAAAAGTGAATTGGATTTTCGCCTCCTAAGGACACTTTACATTAATGGCTCCTTTGCATTGATCCATTCTAGTGTTGAAGTTATCTGTCCAACTGGAACTCAGATTAAACGTCCCCCGTTTCAGTTGCCGTTTCTAACAACAGATGATTATGTTATTAAAAATGGAAGCTCCAAGTCCATTTTAGAGCAAGAAAGCGCTTATCAATTGCTCAACTTGCCACTAACTTGCAAAGCATGTCCACTAGGTTATGTACCGAAATCTCCTTATGGTTATGGAGAGTGTCAACCCTGCCCAAGGGGATATTTTCGAGGGGAAACGGGCTGGCCATCCCCTGCTGGATGTCTAGCCTGCCCTGACGGTTATACAACCCTTCTAGAAGGTTCAACTTCCCTTAAAGACTGTGTTATTGATGGAGGGCTATTTGCTCGAGTAATTGTGAATACTGCAGCTTGGATATACCAAAACTGTATGGAGTTAATTATAGCTTCTTACGAGACCTCAAAGACGTATAAAAGGCGCTCAAGTATCCATATTACCACAGAGGAAGAAAACGAAGAAAATACCGAGGCGATGTTCTGGTTTAATCGAGTTCATCCAGGAGCTCTGATATTTGCAGTTTTATACTTCCTAGTGATAATATTCTGTTGGAGTTTGTGTTGTTACCGAATTTGTCTAATATTTCGTTACAAACAGATGCATTCAAGGCAACGGCACCTGCTAAGGAAGAGTATTGTCATTGGGCAGTTGAATGCACTGGATGATGTGAAGGACTTTTTGAGACAGGACTTTTCGCGAGAGGAAGCTAAATTACCAGCTGGAGCGGGTGATGCTGGAGGGAAAGCTGAAAATGTTGTTAATGCAAAATAAAATGCTTTTAAAAATGGTAGAAGCTTTAATAAGTCTCATTAGATGTTATTCAATGTAATTTTTTTGTTGGTTCATGGTACATAATTTAAAGATGAGGATTTCGATCTCTTACTTTGAATAAGGTTGCGGTGTTTGACAGTATATAAGTCAAATATCACTAGAAATGGTACTAAATATGTTTAACTTTTCAGCATCACGATTCTATTATAGGCCTTCATTAAAAATAAGTAAAGTACTGGGTGGGAATTGGTACCTGAAAATGTCTGTAGTCAATATATCCTGACATAACCTATTTTCGATTCATATTTGGGTCAATAGGAGTATTACTAAGAATGGTTGCATATAGGAATAAATTTTAGATAAATTCGCGATCACTTCTTTAAGGATATTATTTTGGTATTGGAAAGAAAATGCAATAATTAATATCACTACTCATCGCAATGATAAATCTATTTATATATCACTATTTTCAACATAAGTTGCGTGATTGTGATATAAATAAGTCTTGGTTTAAACAGTCGCAATCGATGACCATATTGCTAATAATTACTTAAAATTATGGATCCATTACGGAAACTTACTTTATATTATTGTTTCGCTATATATAGATATCCAGCTATGTAGTTTGATCATTGGAAAAATAATTTCATTATTTTTTTGTTTTTATTGATATAGATTGAAAATAAGATGTAGAAGTTTAGTTTCACATCAATGCTACAAGAAAGCACTAAATAATTCAAAATTTGTCCGTTTTAAATTTATAAATTTTTCGAGAATATGAAAAGGTAGAAATTGGAAATTTTGATTTACGATCTCAAGTTACATTGACCTTGGAGCTCGATATGGTAATGTTTTGGACCGGCTCTTTGGCATTTGTGCAAAAAAATGTCTGATGTTCATCTTTATATCTATGATTTATCAATGGGGATGGCGAAGGTGTTATCAAACTCTTTGGTTGGCAGGCAATTTGACGGTGTATGGCATACCGGTGTTGTTGTATACAATCGTGAATACTTCTTTTGTCAAGAAGGAATCAGCACCTGCACTCCAGGATCCTTACAAACTGCTCTGCTAATAGAAAGAAAAATTATGGGTAAAACCAAACTCACGGAAGACGGAGTACAAAAGTACATTCAAGAACTTTCAAAATCGCTTTTTAAACCTGGTTCATATGAACTTTTACGCCACAACTGCAATTCGTTCTCTTCGCACTTTGTAAATCACCTTACTGGTAATCAAATACCAGCTTACATAACCAATCTACCATCGGATTTTCTTGAAACGCCTATTGGTTCAATGCTAAAAGGAGTTTTGGAGACTTCTGCCAATCTTATCGTCCCTTCTTCCTCTTCAGATTTCAATGATCATAAAAAGATTTTGCCTCACCGTAATTTGCCAGTTACAATGCGTCCCATTCTGTACGACGAGCCTATTTCCTCCGTATTTTCGCCAGACAAACTCACATCTATGTTTGCTGGTGGCACCGGCTTAGCTCACCAATGGGCTAGTTGTGCTCTTCCTGATCTTCTTAAACTGTCTTCTCCTGATTTAGATTCTGCAACAGTTTCTTTGGAAACACTAAGTTTGCTCAAATTCAATCGATGGGCAACCTTTCAACAGTGTGAAGCAATCTGTGAAGTTTTTCGCATAGCCGTTTGGCGATGTCCGGAGCTTATTCTCTCTCTTCTTACTGATCCTAATGAGAATCTCAATAAACTTGCTGAAGCTTTTCCCTCTCCTTCGGGGTATATCTCAAAGTCGTCCTATTTAAATTTAGATGCATCAAAGGCCAGACTTTTATGCAATGTCCTTGCTCTGACTTATGATTCTGATATGTCCCATCTGCAATTCATTCCATTGGAACATGTAGCTGCTCTCTGCATTCGTCTAATACGTGTTGAAGAGGAGGCAGAAGGTAAAGTGCCTTCAAAACGCTTGGAGAAGACTCCTGAACACGAAATGTCAGGTCTTGCGTTGGCGGTGAACTTCGCAATGTGCCCCCTGGTAAATGAATCGGTGGCGATTGAAGTCGCTGCATGTCTATTTCATCTTCTTGACGTCAGACGATGCTTTAAACATCCTGCCCAAGCCTGTTATGCTCTAAAAGCTGTCTATGCTTTCATTTCTAACTTCTCTTCTCTCGCTGATCTTGCGAGAACTCTGGAAATCGATAAGTACATTGCGGAATTGTCGGAACATGCAGAGCAAATTGAAGGAAATTTAGAAATGGATGCTGTCCATGCACGTGATGTTAAGTTAATGGCTGAGAAAATCATACAAATTATCAGACCATAATTTCTGTCTTTTGATCTTTCCCCTTTTCACACATATCCAGAGACATGCCTTTTACCTCAAATCTGCGTTGAGAATATGTTAATGGTATTCTATTGTTTGGCTTATTACACACTTATCTATGCATATATACTTTTCTATGCATGATGTTTACTTTAGTCGGTAGCCCTACTGGTTATTTACCTAATTAAGTTTACTATACCGGTATTTGTGGTTGTTTACGGCCCATTTCAACTACAATTTGTCGGGCCTGTGCTGGAAGCTTGTAATTAGTTCGTTTTCTCAAATAATTGAAGCTTCATTTAGGGGCAAGTTGCTGCTTCAAAAAGCACGTACTTAGTAACGAATGGGTTTAGCTTAGTCGCCGTTCCCTTGTTTATTTGATTGGTGATAGCTTCTGTTTCGTTGAATCAGATTATCGATCTTTAGTAGAGTTGATAAAACCCCTAGTCTATATTTAAAGGTGTAAAGATTTTTCCTCTTATTTTAGGTTGGCACGCTTCGTGCTTGTGGGAATCTCTTAGCTAATAAACAATCGACAGTTCTCGCAAAGCAGCGCACCACTAATTGCAGTTAATACCTTTGCTATGGCGTTTAAAATTACACCACCATGTGCACCGTTGAGAGCCTTTATTTTGGGGATATTTAATTGATTAAAAGTTTTTGAACAAGTATTAAAACTGCAAGAAGAGCTGTGTAAGAAAAATTTTCTTTTCAACCTTTCGTAGACAAAAATTATCACAAGACCGACTTCTTGATTGAATAACACCTAGCAACGGGCACCGAAATTTGTCGACGAGGGTTTGCTACAACCCTGAGGACGAATAGCTGGTCTTTCCTTTAGTCACCCCCAATTACTTCTCACAATAAAGAGAATTTCATTTTTGCTGCGAGTAAAATTAATTAACCAATCAAACAAACTTAGATGTTGACGAAATTTGGATTGAGTTGTTACATGAGCCTGAGGAATATTGGTCAATAACGCCCGCGTCTATTCAAGGAAGGGTTTTCCACCACTCGAGGAGCGGTATTACGGAGCCTCTCTAGTGAGAAACTCGAATTCTCCTGCCCTCTTTATTAGCCCCGCCTTATCAGTGCTCCTCTAGTTACGGATGACCACTGAACCCATCACCTCTGGCATCGCAGTAGAACACGTTGGCATTAAACTTCAGAGATAATAGAATTTATTTGCATTGATAGAAGACTACTGCAATGAGATATTGAGAAAAAAAGCTCTGGTTTAGTAATCAGCAAACTAGACAATCTATTACTCTTGTTCCATAAACTCCAAAAATGAAGAAGAACAGGAGGGACATTGTGGTTTTCAAGTGCTAATGATTGTAGTGAAGAAATGATGAATTTGAGATAACATTAACAGATGGAGATGGATACAACAATAATGCAGAGAGTACTAAAATATAGGGGAATGCATGGGGAGCCTCCATGTTGAGCTTACGATTTCACCAGCTAATCAAAATCACTGCACTATTAAACCACCTAAATGCGTTTTACCGTATGAAAAGCCAATGCTATTCAGAACCCCAACGACACTTGATCTACATGGGTCTCCTGGTATACTCGTGCTCCCTTCACTATCTTGCTGTTTACGATAAGACGATAATATTCCACTTTATCCTGCACCTTTTCCTAATATTCTTGCGATAATTTAACACGGTTTTCTTAACCGCACGTACAGTCTATTATCCATTCATTTAAGAAAACTTTTCGATGAGGTTAAGGCAAATTGATACACTTTTGCAGTATTTGAATTCGGAATATCCTATAGCACTTCTCTTTCCATAATTGCCAGAGCTCCATCAAAACAATAGGCATCTCTTTACTGGTCAAACACACCTTCGCTGTCTGTTACCTAATCTGTCAATTTTACAATACTTTATGCTTAATCTCTGTTTAGACTAGGTGTCTGCTAATTTTACGTAGTAAACCTATTCCACTAAAGCATACCACTAAATAGACGTATTCAGTTCCCCACGGCAGTTGTAGTTAAGGGGCTTTAAGATGAGCTATTAGTGGATAGAAGCTCAACACTGCAAAGAAGCACTGACGACCTATTGCAGAAACTCATTTGCTCAATTTGCTTCCGTTTAATTGGCCAAAGAGATCCTTAATGCCAAAATTAGCAGATGGAATGCTTATTGATTTATCTATAAAAGTAAACTTTTATGATTGGCAATATATTCCGACAAACTGTTTACCTCGATGGTTAATGTCACCCGCTTGGCAAATATCTCAACACACTAGGGCGCATATATTAAACCACCCACCTTTAGAACAAATGTTCAGTTTAGTAAACAACTTGTCTGGGTTAGACGTACGCAATGTCTCTCAAAGAAGTCTCCTCCGCCAAGTGCTTTGAGGGATATCAGAAGGTTTTCATACATGACAGGCAAGACAGTTCTTCAGTTTCTCTTAACATTTTTCCAGTGTTTCCACGAGATGTCCAATGAAATTCGGTGTTTACTTACCTGCCTGCTATGGACCAGACAAACCTTGCCCTGTAGTGTTTTTCCTCCAGGGGTTAACGTGTACTGAGCAGAACTTCATTATCAAATCTGGAGCTCAACGTTATGCCTCGCAGTTGGGACTCGTCTTGGTCAACCCTGACACAAGTCCTCGTGAGTTGCTCCATTTACTTCCTTTTATTTCATAAGCTCTCATCTCTTGGGCTATTGATATTTCCTGTTTACTAAATCTAAATTACTTATAACTTCCCTCCAACGCTAAAATCTCATGCTAGAAATTTGATGTCATTTATAATGGTTATGGCTAATTTATTAACTTCTCAAATAGGAAAAGATGTATTCATGTTACGCTTTCATTACACTCCCCATCTAAACCCAAAAGTGCATTTCCTCATAAGGGAATCTCCACAAGGTTACTCAATCTAATATGAGTGGCAAAAAAACTATTCTTTATAACAGCACATTTTTTATTGAAGAATAAAATAACCATTAATTAGAAAATTGGCTCTTAAACGAAAAATATTAATCATTTTTAACTGAAGAAAAGCAGTCGACACTATTACACAATGGCACTATGTGCAAGCACAATGTTTTAGAGACTTCGATCTACTAAATAATATTCTAGATCCTTATTGCTAATTTTAGGTGGCTGCAATATTCCCGGCGAAGATGAGGACTTTGATTTTGGAACTGGCGCCGGTTTTTACGTAAATGCCACTCAGGAACCATTTAACACGAACTATCACATGTACGATTATGTCGTGAAAGAGGTGAGTTCCCGCCGATATCTAAAATCTTGAATGCACCTTAAAACACCCCCAAATTGTACGAATTTCACATACCCTCTCCCTTCCCGTATCTCTTTTAGCTTCCCGAATTGATTGAGAAAAATTTTAACATTATTCCTGGCAAATATGGTCTGTTTGGCCACAGGTAACTTAAAATTCAAATTTAATCTTGCTCAAATTTAGCATGGGAGGTCATGGTGCTCTGATGGTTGGTCTTCGTAATTCTGATCGTTTTGTCTCCGTTTCCGCTTTTTCACCTATTGTTCACCCTTCTGTCGTTCCCTGGGGTATTAAAGCCTTCACTGGTATGTCCTTTACTTACTAGATTTCGCAATTTTCGCAATATTTTATGATAAATTTTAGCTAACATGCTTAAGCGTGGGCCGAAAAATCAAAAGCTGTGGCCTTCATCGAATCGCTATATGAATAAGCCTTGACTAAACTTCAGTATTCTCTATGGCAAAATCCCCGAATATGAAATTGCTTCCAAAATTGGCTAAGTTATCTAAAAAATATTGATTAAACAGAGTCTGGTGTGAATAGTGTTTTTTTGTGGGTGTCACAGACACAGAGCTTAGTCATTAAAATTCAATTAAGGATTTGTTAAATCACACAGAGACCATCGATTGGTGTTTGTTTGAGAGGTCATTGTGCGCTCAGACCACCTTTGAGCCTATCCGAGTGCGCATGAGGTTTTTCTATTCAGCCATGACAATGTCGTGCAATCCACGAGTTCCAGTTAAAAGGCTATTTATAATCAGCGTCCATTTTCCTTTTGAGTTTAAACGCACTGTCTTTTAAAGTAACATAATTTAATACAAAATGGTTCATTTTTTACAAAAACGCGTTTTAAAATTCGCATGTTATCCCGTGTAGTCGTTTTTATTATTTCAAGGTTACCTGGGTGCTGACAATGACTGGAGTATGTACGACACTGTTGCGTTGGTAAAGAAACATGGAATGCGTTTCGCATCACCACCTCTTATTGATCAAGGTGATGAAGATGAGTGGTTGCACACGAACTTAAAACCTGAGTTACTAGCTCAAGCCTGTGCTGAAGTTGGCCAAGAAATCAATATGCGTTATCAAAAGGTTAGTGTTCACAGGAGGTTATGAATTAATTCCTACTTTAAATGAATTAGTAGTCGTTATGGATTCTTTTAACTTTTAGGGTTATGACCACTACTACTGCTTCATAAGCACCTTCATGGAAGATCATCTAAAATTTCATGCGAAAAATCTTACTGAATTCTAAACAGAAATGACAATAAATAGTATATCTTGTAGTCCAACATTTTGTATTTTTTATTTCCAACGGCAGGCGTTTTTCTAGTTATCAATAGCTCTCTAGCTGACTTCGGGTTTCACAGAGAGGAGGAGGAACATCAAAGTGACAGAAAGTCGAGAGGGGGACAGAATAATGATTCGCAGATGTAAAAGAGACAGACAGACACTAAAGCAGAGAAAAGGTAGAACGAGCAATGTGGAAGGAGTCAAATATGACATACAGTGGGGTCATGGTAGTTTGGAGTAAGAAGTCAACTGCCGATTAATAGGCTTTTTTGCCGTATAAGTATACGTCGCCCAGGTTGCATCACGTGGAGATAAGTCCATATATAAATTATAGAATAATGAATAAAATCTTTAGACCTTTGAGCATAGTGTAAAATTGAAATGGATGAGGACTACTTTGTTCACTCATTGGCTGTTGTTGATAACTGAACGCCTCCACATTTTCAGCTGACAGAAAACTATATGCATATTAAGTGAATCTTAACCGCTTTTTGGCGAACTCAACTTAGACCAGACATAAAAAACCTGAAAGCAATTAAAAAGTGGGAACTTTACATCCATAACGCCTAGAGAGGTATTATTTAATTTTATTAATAACGCTTTACATAATTCTCTGTAAAAATCTCACCTATTTCTGCATTGGCGAAAGCTGCAGCCATCTTAAAAGAGTGAACAAATTTATTTTAATTAATTCACTAATGACAAATAAATTTATTGAAAAAGATGTCATTATGTCTGACTACAATGGTAAGCTTATAAAAATTAATAGGTCCATTAAGTAACATCAAACAAATAGTTTCTAAACTTCGTGCAAAGGTTTTTGGATGAGTTGGAACTGGTTTGTGGGGTACGAAAACGCAGAAATCTGAAAAGTAGATGAACCTTCACATTGTAAAGACTTGATCTAGAACATTTCCCAATCAAACACTTTCAAGCCTCAAGTCTCAATCGAACTCTATTAGATTAGCTTAATATTTTAAGTGATGAGGATTTTGAAGAGGATGGTGGTAGACACTGAAGTAATCGAATTTCACTTAAAACTTACTCATCAAGTTTTGTTTTGAAAGATATGAATCATTCGTCAAATGTAAAGGTGTTAGTGGGACTTTTTGTCAAATATACAGCATGTATCAAATTGGCTTAGACTGACATTTTATGTAAGGGATCAGAGGCAATTCAAGTTTGAAGTTGAAGCATCCTCTTTTACTATGAGTGAGCATGGAGCTCCACTGATTAGTCACGGTAATTCTGATTGAATTCAAACAGAAGTCCAGATTTCACCTGATTTAATTTTCTCTTTCTTTTCTATTTTCATAAATGATCGCCCCAAATTCCATTTGAAGAATCTCTCCGGCATCCAAAATGATAAAGAGTAATTGTATTCATTCTATAATTTTACTTATTTAACTTAAGTAATCAAAAGCTAGCTGTAGTTTTAACAGAAGCTTATAGAAAAGAATTTTATCTATCAGGAAAGGAGTTTTTTCCTTTTGACCTCGTTTCGGAAATATTGCATTTAAATTATATCAGAAGGAGGCGAAAGAAAACGCTTGTTCTGTTGAATTTTTCCTTCCTCTTCTTCTTCTTCTCCTTCTGCAGATTGTCCATCATCTAGGTTGGCAGGGTTTCTATTTTAAGGTCTACGTTTTTTCCCTCTGAACAAAATTTGAAGTAGGCGAAATTGAGTATGATTTTGTGTGATTTTTAGGATGCGTTTGTACTGGTACACAACACTTAAAATGCTCAGAGAAATCCACGAAAATGTAAAATAAACTGCCAGTCGCTAAATCCTCCCCAGAAGTTTAGAGCGTGGCAGCAACAAAATCGAGTGTGAAATTGCGGGCGAGTTTGTGCTAAGAAATGAAAGAATTAAGCAATCTAAGTAGAGATCAGAAATTGTCCCCGATTTGATTGCAAAGTTAACTGTCAATTTCTAGCCTTCTTCAACTCTACAATTTCAACATTCCATTTACTCAATCTTTGACTTCATCCTTCCTGAAAGGTGCGATAGCATAAAACGGTACCACTACAACAATTAGCAAAACTGCAAATGTTGGCGTCAGAACTTTAATGGAAAACTCTTATCATTTTAAGCTCAAAATAACCTGACAACCACCGTGGAATTATATTGGTTCAATAACTAATAGCTGCTCCTCTTGATGAACGAATATTTTGGAAAAGTCGTTTTCTATCCTACGGAGTTCTTGTACAAAACTAGTCGAATAAATTGCACCTTGGCGTTTAGGAAGGAACGTTAAATTGATATGATATGTGATTACATATAAGATTCGAGTAAAATTTACAAAATGCATACATTTTAAATTTTGAGTGGACAAAATTTAACTCCGTTCTAGAAAAAATCGACTCCAAGCTTTAATTAATTCAGACAAAGCATATCAGAATCTCTCGAATAAAGGTACAAATTTTTGGAACTATTTGCTTAAGACTATATATATATATATATATATATATATATATCTTGAGCGAAATAAAACGTGACTGTTTACACTATTAGTCATTAATGAATTTGATTTGGTGTAAGTAATAAAAGGGCAATAATTAACAGGGTTATGTTTTACTGCACCACTTAGAAAGCTCCGGTTATGGTCCATTGAATAGGGAAAGTACTTGAATGGGTAGATGTTTGGGACCATTCAGTGTTACTGACTCTTGTACACTGATGACATGGTGGTTAGCGTAATTGTCAGTGAAATTCGAGGTAACGAGTCACCACCCACTGGTGAGCACCCTGTGTTTAGAACATCTAACAATGTTGGTTAATCCTGACAGAATTCGATTTGCGCACCATGAAAGCTGATTGAAACCTCACCTAAAACTTGAGATGAGTAATAGGAACGTTTTCGTATATAGGCTTTAAATAACCTTAACTAAGGTAAGCTAAGATCATGCGTTTTTCATCAGTTTACATTACACAATTAGAGCAAACAGATGGCTTTAATGCCTACGATCTCAGCATGTGAAACTGAATGTGGAAGGTTGCCTATGTTTTTCGAAGCGTTTGCCCGCCGATACCTACACTTAAATGTACTTCCTGAGTCAATTTGAGCTCAGTATATTCCCATCAGTCTTGTATAAGTATTTTCCTCTCCGGTGCCTTTCGATGTGGCCTAATTTCCAAACGATAATCTTAAATCGATTGCCTAATCCACCCTCACCTTGTTTATCTCTTGATAGTCATTTGTTTTGAGTGATCAATATATCAAAATTAATATTGACCTTCTAAAGCAGAGAATTCTTCTCTCCGATTGCTGTCAGAAATGGTTCGACAAACTATCACGGTGCTTGGTACTCAATGAGGCATATAATTAAATGAACTTAAAATCACCACCGATCCGACTTCATCTAAATGAAGAATTTGAGTACCTTTCACTGTTTGTCAATCCAAGACCATCTCACGTATGATTCTGAAATAGTACATTTTGACGCGAATCCCAATGAAACTGAATTATCAGATTGCGAAATAGTAGCTGGCACTGTTGGAATTGACTTGACTGGAAATAATAATAATATTATTGCCCAATACATCTATTCGCAGGACCTCTCTATTAATTCTATTTATAACATTTGGACGGTAAATTGAAAACTATCGCGTCGGTGAATACAAATTCCCGCGAGTAATTATTGACAAGTGAGGTATTTTCACGACTTCAATTGGACTAATATTGTGAGAGGACAACCTGTTTTTTATTAATCTTTGCATACAGCAAAAATCATAGAAAAGGTTTATTAGTTTACAGGAGTCTGGTAACTTGACCTTCCACGATTAAAGTCATGAGTAACAACGTGCAGATCACAAATCAAAATAAACTTAAAAAAGACTAAATTAAACTAAACACGTCGACAAGTAGGAGGGTTCTGTGATTCAGCCCCCTTCCCCTTCAACTCGACAATGTAGTACTCTGGCAAAGTGGTTATATACGTGTAACTAGCCACGGTTTCCTCAGGTACGCAACACCCTCCATGTCTTCTTTCCCTGCAACACCCGCCCTGTTCCACAATCTCCCAATGAATACAATTTATCTACGATAGGCCTTCCTAGCTAATTTCACCGCGACTTACAAGGATGCTCCACGGATAACAATTTGAACTCAACAGAGATGCAATAAAATTTCCAATTTGAAATGCCCTAATTTTAGCATAGGCATCAATAGGAATTATGCATTACAAAGCCTCCAAAATGTCACCGCGTGAATTTCCGACCCACTTGAAGGGGTCAGGAGAGGTGTGAAAATTGTGTATTTCGATTTACCGGGATCTCAAACCAAATGTCAATGGAGGCTACCGGCATGAATAAGGGAAATTGGGAAAAATGGTGAAAATGGTAAAATACAACCAATATAGTCCTGTTCGGCGCTGATCACAAATACTTTTATTAGATAATATGGAGACAGAGACTTTCGTGAATATTGGCTAGTGGGATCTAAAAATCCATCAAGGAGTGTAAATTGAAGAAAATTTAACTTCCAAGCTCAACATGGCCACCAATAAGGTTTAACAAGAACTAGTAATCATCATATTCCGCGGTGGATCATTAATTAAATCCGATTGGCTCAGTTTTTTGCAGTTATCAATTGAATAACATAAATCATTTGCATGGAAAATGCCGGCTTCATATTTCGGAGCCGAACTTGCCATCCTTTTGTCTTTGTTAGCAATATCATTTTCTCTGGGCTCAGCCACCCTTGAATCACAAAAGATTACTATTGTTATACAGACTTATGTTAATTAATTCATAAAATGTACGCACCTATTGTGACCTTGTTGGGTGATTTCCACAAAAAGAAGATTTTTGGGGTGGCCGAAGGCTAAAATAATTTTGCTTGAATACTTGAGTATCCAATGTTCTACTTAGAATTATTTCTTGCCCTGTCGGTACTCTTATCTTCATTTATTACACTGATCTGGTATTAAAGAAAGCTTTCTAATTAGTTTTTATTTGAG